GAGGTGCTGGATGATTAAGTGATATTACCATCTCATTCTACCTGGTACCCATCCACTGCTGGTTGAACAGAGGCAGATGTCGGACAAATTCATCAGCGTCGGACAGGACTGTACCAAGAAACTCTGTCAGGAGCCACACTGTCGAACATAGTGACCCATTGGAGGACTTCACCTGATGTTTATGCCGATGTGGCCTGAATTTTAACAATATTTGAGTTTTTTCACAACCTGTGAGCTTGATATAGGTGAAATGTTCAAAGTGATGAATATGTATGGTGCTGGGATTCGAACCTATGATCATAGTTATCTAGTGTGACTAAGAGACACAACCCTGCATAGCAAATTGCCTCGCCTTGAATGACAGGGCCACCGTGTGCCGTCATTACAATGAATAGTAGCGCTAATGATTTGTCTTGCTGCTAAAAAACACTTGATTGGCTAAACACAGTTACAATATATAATATAATAAAGCAACAATGGAAGATTTCCATTAAGTTCAAGAAAAGCAGCCCCCATTGCCATTACGAGCACAACTTCATTGTAAAACCATTGGAGGTAACAAAAAGACCAGTGAAGTCTGAAATAGAGTATAACATTGTCTGCGCATGCGTAGACTCATTGACTTTCTACACATGCGCACCGGTAATCGAAAGGGCGAAACGCGACACGCGACAACGCGACATAAATATGTCGCATTGTCGCGTGTCGCGTTTTAGTCATATGTTATAATACATACTATACTCAATATTTTAACAAAGCGCGATTACGCGACAATGCGACAACGCGACATTTCATCAAAATGTCGCGTTGTCGCATTGTCGCGTGTCGCGTTTTAGTAAATTTTAGGCTGTTTTTACATCTTCCATCAACGCGACATATTTTGACCTTGAAAATTGTCGCTATGTCGCGTGTCGCCCTTTGGAGGAATGAAAAAATATATTATTCAAAACGCGACACGCGATATCGCGACAATGCGACAAATGGGCGAAATGTCGCGTTGTCGCGATGTCGCGTGTCGCGTTTTGTTTAATTATGCTTGTATTTGAGAGGGCGACAATGCGACAACGCGACAATGTCCCTTCCAGGATTCCATACCATTTTACCGTAACGAAAATTATTACAATTTACGTCAGTTTTATTCCAATTTGCGTAACACAATTTACGTCAATTTTTAATTACAATTTACGTTATTATTACAATTTACATCAAGTTTATTACAATTTAATGCAAGTATTACAATTAGAGAAAAGGTAATAAGAATTCCATGGGGGAAATTCCATAACCCAGATCCATATGGACCTCAAGATATAACTGATAACCCAGGTTTAGAAATAACTGATGATCCAGCTTAAGATATAACTGATGATCCAGGTTTAGATATAACTGGTGGTCCATGTTTAGATATAACTGGTGGTCCAGGTTTAGATATAACTTATGATCCAGGTTTAGATATAACTGGTGGTCCATGTTGAGATATAACTTATGATCCGGGTTTACATATAATTGGTGGTCCATGTTTTAAATATAAGTGATGATCCAGGTTTAGATATAACTGATGATCCAGGTTTAGATATAACTGATGATCCAGGTTTAGACATAACTGATGATCCAGGTTTAGATATATCTGATGATCCAGGTTTAGATATAACTGATGATCCATGTTTATATGTAATTAATGTTCCAGGTTTAGATATAACTGATGATCCGGGTTTAGATATAACTGATGATCCAGGTTTAGATATAACTGATGATCCATGTTTATATGTAATTAATGTTCCAAGTTTATATATATAACTGATGATCCAACTTTAGACATAACATACGGTCCAGGTTTAGACATAACTGATGATCCAGGTTTATATATAATTGATGATCCAGGTTTAGATATAACTGATGATCTATGTTTAGATATAATTGATGATCCAGTTTTAGACATAACTGATGATCCAGCTTTAAATATAACTGATGATCAAGGTTTGGATATAACTGATGATCCAGGTTTAGATATAACTAATGATCAGGGTTTAGATATAATTGATGGACAGGTTTAGATGTAACTGATGATCCAGGTTTAGATATAACTGATGGACGGGTATAGATGTAATGGTGGTGTGTCTTAATTTACAGTGTGTGGGTTAGGTTTCCGCTTACGTTTACAATATTACAGCAATACCACGGCGGGGACACCAAAATGGGCTTCACACATTGTATTCCATCGCACCCAGGTCTCCGACGTGATGAGTGAATACTTTAACCACCAGGCCTTGTAAAGACGCCCATGTGTTTTGTTCTATCGTGAAAGATTATACAGAGGATATTTGGTTTGTCTCGTTAATAAAACGACGTTTTAACCAGTAGGCTACCCCACCGCCCATCTTCTCAAATGTAACTGCTACAACCTGTGACAACAGTACCGCGCAAAAGTCAATCAAATGTCAAATTAGCTATTGAATACTTTCAGAACAGTTCGCCATTCCCGAACCGTTAGTGCAAGGCGGGTATCTCTGAACGGAATTCGTACAGCAATTGCGTGCAGTCCGCTTCCTTGAAGTACAATAATTCCGGGTAGTGTCGGGCTATATGAAATGTGACTTACACAGCGTCACCAATATAAATATAACCCATGTAACACTGACATGGACGCATTGGACATTGGACATTGGATACTATGAACATATAGCCCGATAATTTGATGTCGTATTCCCAACAAGATTTAAAGGAGCTGCTGTATGTGCCTGCAGAATTGTTACAAGTGTAAAACAGTCCGAATTGAGGCAAGTTTTTAGCACAGACCTTGTACAGTGCAATTATCAGTGTTAATTGTAAACAGTGACACCATAAACCAATATAACGCTGGCGTGTCTCTTCATTTAGAATCGCTATTGCCGATGCGACGTTAAATACTCACTCACTCACTAATTTAGAATCGCAATGCACATGGATAATAAACTAAGCTCCAAACGAAATGATACCAAACATTTTTCAATATATTTTGATTAAGTATTCCTTTTGTATGAAAGCGTTTCCCATGTTTCATACCAAACGTATTCGATCGAAAAATCCGTGAACATTTGATCAATTGAGAAAAACGCTCATTTTGCCAAAATGATGTTACGTCCCGTAGCACGGAATGCACGTGCAGTTCAACTGTATAAAACTGCTGACCCGACACGTTGGGATCACAACAACAAAAGCACACAAAAGTAACGCCACGTTTGTCAGCTTTTGGGATGGTCCAACAAGGAGCAACGCACACCGACGTCACCAGACGGTAAGGATGCGCGCGCATAGCCGTCACCAGGTTCATGCAGCAGTTGCGTCAAACAGGTTGGACAAGAGACAGGCCAAGAAGCGGGAGATCACGGGTGACCACGTCTATTGAAGACCGTCACATCTGGGTACTTCATCTCTGGAATCGATTCATCACGGCGACGTTAACAGCAAGGACGGCACTTGTAACTCGGCAACCCGTGTACAGGAGATTGCAGGCACATGGTATCCGGATACGTTGCCCCTACCGCGGAGCGTTCCTGACAGCTCAACAGCGAGCCAACAGACTGGTGTGGGTCAGGCGACTTCGACGTTGGCAACAGCCGCGGGCGAGACTGGGCACAGGTCAGGTTTTCTGTGAGAGGAGATTCTGCATCTTCAGGAACGATGGTCGGCAGCGTGTGTACCGAAGAGTTGGTGAACGTTTGGCACAGAATTATATTCAACAAGTCCGGCCATTCGGAAGCGGAGGTTTAGTGGTTTAGGGTGGAATATGCGGTGCCGCCAAAGGCCAAAGGCTCGTCGTAATTCAAGGAAACCTGAATGGACAGCGTTATCGAGATGAAATTTAACGACCAGTTGTTCAGCCATTCATTCAACAACAGCCTCGTGGAATCATTTTCCAGCACGATGATGCGAGGCCACATACGGCAAGGCTGACTCAGAAGTTCCTCGCCAACTCCAACATTCAGGTTTTACCATTTGCGACATGAACCCAATCGAACACGAATGGGATCATATCGATCGTCAACTTAGAAATCGTCCTGTGCCTCCAGTCAACATCCAAAACTTGGAACAATGCCTCCTTAGTGGATGGCAACGCATCTCCCCAACGTCATCCGCCGTTTGAAGTCATCAACCCTTAGACGTGTACTAGCGTGTATTGACGCTCACGGTGGACATACTCGGTACTAACATGACTTTGAGACGTCTGTTGGGAATTTTCTAGGCTTGCCTCCTCATTTGTGTTTGAATTAAATTTTTTATTTTGGCCCCTCACGTATGAACAGGCCTGGGCTCATGTTTTTAAAGGATTGATTGATATGAAATTTTGTACACGTGTAAAATATCTCAAATGAAATATACCAAACTAAAATTTCTTTATCTTTTGTTTTCTTTAATGTCCTTTCAAACACGTGGTATCGTTTCTTTTGAATAATACTTTATCTATACTTTGATATTGTTCCATGCAAATCAATATAACCTTTACATGATCATTCCCAAATTGATTACTTGGGGAAAGAAAGAGTAAAGTTAGTGACATTCGATAACCCAGAAGTTTAGATATAACTGATGATTCAGGTTTAGATATGACTGATGATTCAGGTTTAGATATAACTGATGGTCCAGGTTTAGATGAAACTGATGGTCCAGGTCTAGATATAACTGATGATTCAGGTTTAGATATAACTGATGATTCAGGTTTAGATATAACTGATGATGTAGGTTTAGATATATAATTGATGGTCCAGGTTTAGACATAACTGATGATCCAAGTTATAGTTGAGGGTCAGAAATCAAAGTACAGTTTTCAATGTCGTCACGTTTATTTCTCTTCTGTTCTGGTATCATATCAATTCGTGAATGAATGTGGCAAATATTAACACAAATCTCAGATTTATATACACATTATCCAGTCAGCTATAGGTAAGTCAGGTGAATCTCCTTCTTTAATTGATTGATGACATTATTGATTTCGTTCTAGAGAATCGCACATTCTGTATCCTTGTCACCAGGTTTATCTTCTCTGGATACACGCAGGACATGGGGCACACGCATCTCCTCCCTGCATGTTGAACCTCGGTGGCTTATCTTGCAACTTAGTAATGTGGTGTTAATGCAAGATACACATGTTTCATTTTTTCTGTGCATATTTCCCTCATGCAGGTATTTTCACATAATTTTCATTTGCATATTTCATGCATTATAAATGTCTACCTAATGTGTACTGTCTCCATAGCACAGTGCAGCTCTTACTTCATTCTAGTATCAGGTATTACCTCCCTTGTTAGTAACCCAGCCAGCTAGGGTTCAATCCCAGCTTTCTAATAAAACTTTTGCAGATTTGTTATGTTTCATATCCCATAATACAATTTTCCTGTCATGTGACCTTAAAAAGCACATGTGGTACTGGGACCCCATGCTTCAGTGTGGTAGCAGCCTCCATAGCGTCAAGAGGTCTCCTCTGACTGTTAATATTAATGTAGAGCACAGGAACACAAATGTAAGTCTTGCATCTTTATTGTTTCACAGTTACTATTCTATTTTGTATAAATATAATGTTTAATAGTCTTCTTTGAAGTTCATGGCCTCATAATGTTATTGTTACATGCCATATTTTCTGAAAGTGTTCAAAGAATCTTCAAAGGTTTTCAAAGTTGTTAAACATAAATTTAGATGATATTTCTTCAATGCATTGTATTTTATAGTCAAATTATATTACAAATTGTTTCTGTTTATTCTAGTTTTCCAAACCTCATCCACTCAGTCACTCATCAACTCAACTAGTTATCCTTTTACACGACCAATGACCAACGTTCAACGTGTATCTTACATTCATTTGTACGTGTCACCGTATATCAACGCACACCATTGTTTACCATCAACGAATAAAACCCTGTGGATGCGAGTTCTTGGTGAATTGTTATTCTTGCGTCTACATTTGTTTGGAAAAATTTACAGTCAGAGGATGACAACGACGTTCTTGATGTCTTCTGTGTGAGGCCGTATTGCTACATCACTCTTCCAACCTTGCATGGTGTCGTTTCTGTATTCAACGTGTGCAAGGTATGGTGCTCATATTTTGACTTTGTTGTGCAACGTGAACGATGTATTCGCACAACATAACTGGTGACATTCCTAATGGCACTGAGAATGTTTATGCATCCGATGTTCATGACTTTGATGGTGTCCAGGGTGCTGTTGGTGGTTCACAAGACAGAAGTGATGACGTTCGACGTTCTTCTCGTCAAAGAACTCTTACTGAAAAGGCTAAAATTGAACATTTACATCTGTTGAGAAATAAGGCTGCTACTTCTCTTTCAGCTGTTACTAAATGTAGAAATAAGCTTAATGAGTTGATGGAAAGTGGTGACAATTTGCATTTAGTTAAGACTGCTTCTGATACATTTAACCAGTTGTATTTTAGGTACCTCACCTGTGCTGAGCTCTATTGCAGCGAGTTAGAACCAGCTGAGAGGCACGGTGTGCAGCAGATCGTAGACATCAGGGTGAATTCCATGTTGGCATTCAAGGACTTGACCAAGCATTGGATCCAATCCACTGAACAGGACTTGGTGGAAGAAGTTCAGAATGAGTCGGCATCTGCTACAGGTTCGTGTGAGAGTAAGAAGTCTAAGTCCAAATCTTCCACATCACGTACAAGCGTCAGTGGGTCAGTATCTTCTCATACATGTGAAAAGGCTAAGCTTGCAGGTCTGCTCGCAGAGAGGACTATGTTGCATAAGAAGTTGGAGATGGAGAAGATGATGCGGCAGACCAAGATGGACATTGAAGAAATGAGGCTGGACATTGCTATTGCCAAGTCTGCTGCCCGTGAGCAAGTCTTTGCTGAAGCTGAAGGTCAGGAATATGCAACACTTGATCTACAATCACGTGAGTCGAACCCTAAGCATATGGTTTCAAATGTCATTGACGGTGGCAGAGAATGTTCCATGTCCAATACTTCTCTCAATGAGACAAAGCCTAAAGTACCCATATCAACGGCCAGTGTTAACACTTGCAAATATGATATTCATACTCGGAGGCATTCTTCAGCATGTAAAGAACCAAACAGGAAAGTTCTCAATCCTGATGCTAGGGATTTTCAGCCTACATCTCAAAGGTCGCATACCAATGTAACTCAAGGGAACATGAGGTATAACCGTCCAGATCAAGATCTTAATTCTAGTCAGCTTTTTATTGAGACTCAGAAACAGATGGTCAACGTGATGTTTCTTCCCAAGCCAGAAGTACCGAAGTTCCAGGGTGACCCTACAGAGTTTGCTTCTTTCATCATGGCCTTTGATGCTCGGATCATCCCACATGCAAGAGCTGACGCAGACAAGTTATACTATCTGAACCAGCACTTACAAGGTGAGCCTAAGGATCTTGTCTCTGGTTGTCTATATATGGACATGACTACTGGCTATCAATCTGCAAGAGATTTGCTATTCAAAGAATATGCAGATCCATATAAAGTATCATCAGCATACCTGAACAAAGTGCTATCATGGCCTACACTGAAAAATGATGATTATTCTGGACTTAAACAGTTTTCCTATCTTCTTATCAAGTGTTATCACGTGATGGACAGCATATCTCATATGTCTGTATTAAACCATGCTCCTTATATGCAGTCAATTGTACAGAAGGTTCCACAGCATCTACAGACTAGATGGAGAGATCATGTTACCAAGGCCAGAATGAATGGAGCACAGTATGTTGGATTTGGAAATCTAGTAGACTTTGTAGACTTTGCAGCTAAATCAGCAAATGAGCCAACTTTTGGTAAGCAGGCACTTTCTGTGAGCAATGATCGTCCTCGCAAAGCTAATGATGCTTCACGCAACAAACCACAAGTTCCCAAGTCTCAGAGTTTTGCTACAAAAGTCGACAACAGTGCTTCAAACGGTAACACAAACTTATCTTGCTACTTCTGCAAGGAACCTCATGACATTGATAATTGTAGTGCGTTTTGCAGCAAGTCTCTGGCAGATAGACGTTCCTATTTGAAGGAGAACAACAGATGCTTTGGTTGTTACGGACTTAATCACTCTGTCAAGGGATGCATGAAGAGGAGAAAATGCAGGACCTGTGGTAAAAGTCACCCAACTGCTTTGCACGATGAGAATTTCAAGCCTATCAAGAAATCTGAACACTCGCCCGAGTCATCAACTACCAAGACACCCATGGAAAGAATAACTACTAGCGCAACAAGTTGTAACTCCATTAGTTCCAGTGTCAACGAAACTATCCTTCAATCGATCATTCCTGTAAACGTCAGACAGAAGGGAAGTGAGAGGGTAGTAACAACGTATGCATTCTTGGACAATGGTAGTACTGGCTGCTTCATAACGGACAGTCTCAGGGAACAACTGGATGCTAACCATTTGCCTAGTGTCTTAAAGTTACAGACTTTGAATGGGACAGATCTCATAGACACGTCAGTTGTACCAGATCTCATAGTGTCTGATATCTCCAACATTAACTCTGTCTGTTTGCCACGCACATTTTCTCGTGATGAAATGCCTGTTGAACATGATCACATTGCTAAGCCTGATGTTCTAAAACGTGTGTCACATCTTAGCCATCTTGCACACAAGCTTCCAGCGTATCAACCTGACTTGGAGATAGGACTGCTGATCGGATGCAACTGTCCAGCTGCTCTACAGCCACTAGGTATAATCTCTTCAGATGATGCAGGACCGTTTGCAGTTTGTTACAAGCTTGGCTGGACAGTGAATGGACCACTTCAACTAACCCGTAATCTCCAGAACAATACAGTAGTCTGCAACAGAATAGTTCTTCAGGAAACGATAAAAGTCAGTGAGTGTATTACACCTGAGAATGTACTGAAACTGTTTGAGCTGGATTTCAATGAGCATGATATAGGTCAGGATCCTGGTCAGCGAGGATATTCTATCGAAGATCAACGCTTCATTGACGACACTGAAAAGAATATGCAGTTCGTTGATGGTCATTTTCAGATTCCACTCCCATTTCGCAAAACTGATTTGATGCCATGTAACAGACAGCAAGCTGTTAAACGTATTTTGTGGCAAAGAAAAAAGATGTTAAAGAATGAAATTTATCACAGGGACTATGTTGCCTTCATGAACTCCATTCTGTTAGCAGGATATGCTTGTGAGGTCCCCAAGAGTGAACTCTGTGGTCAGCCTGGTCATATCTGGTACTTGCCTCATCACGGTGTGTATCATCCCCATAAACCCAACAAGATCCGTGTAGTGTTTGATTGCAGCGCCAAGTTCGATGGTGTGTCTATAAATGATGTACTGCTGCAAGGTCCAGACCTCACCAACTCGTTGATTGGAGTGCTCACCAGGTTCCGCAAAGAAGACATTGCTTTCATGGGAGACGTTGAAGCAATGTTTCATCAAGTAAAAGTACCCAAGGAGCAACAAGATTACCTGCGATTTCTATGGTGGCCTGACGGTGATGTAGACAGTGATTTGAAGGAATACAGAATGACTGTTCACACCTTTGGCACTATTTCTTCCCCAAGCATCGCCAACTATGCTCTGAAAGCATCTGCACACAAGTCTGAGGGCAAGTATGATTCTGATGTTGCCTATACAATATATAGAAACTTTTATGTAGATGACTGTCTTAAGTCTGTTCAGGATGAAAAATCTGCTGTCACACTGATCTCACAGTTGCGATCGGCATGCGCTGAAGGGGGATTCAATCTCACAAAGTTTACCAGTAACAGTAAGCATGTCTTGTCTTCCCTTCCTCCAGAGCATTGTTCTAAAGACATTCAAGCCATAGATCTTAGCTGTGACGACATCCCCATGGAACGGGCTCTCGGTATGCAATGGCACATTCAGTCTGACTCATTCAAGTTCTCAGTTGACTTGCCAGAAAAGCCTGCTACACGACGAGGGATTTTGTCTACAATGTCTTCCCTTTATGACCCTCTTGGCCTAGTATCTCCAGTTCTACTTCCAGCCAAGAAAATACTGCAAGACCTGTGCAAGGACAAGTCTCTTGACTGGGATGATCATGTAGAAAAGAGTTGTTGTGATAGCATCAATAAACTTGAAATATCGGTGTTCTCATACAGTATGCACGAGAAGCAATGTATGCAGGACACCTTCAGCACAGTTTACTAATGGTAAAACATACACATGTGTTTATGTGATTCTTAAGACATCAGAAGCTTAAGTAAATGTTTGGGGCATCTTTGAAAAATGAGAGGTAGTTAGTTATAATATCACATCACAATCAAGGGCATCAGCTGTACATATGTACATTGGGTAGGAGTCAAACCAATATCTGTGGCATCACAAGCAAAACCTGAAGAATATTTAACACAAACATCTCACAAATGTTTGTTTGTTTGTGATTTAACTTAATGTAAAGTCTCACATTAGCTTTTAGTTTGTGAAAAATAAGGTGCACTTTGGACATTGGTTAACTCAATTCACTGATAAAGTTTATGCAGCTGAACATAGACAAAGCATATTGGACAGTGGACAGTTTCTGTGAAGTCCAAGTACAGACATCAATCAGCTTCTGTTGGTCGTTGTTGGTGTATTCAGAAATGTTGTAGAGAACCAGCTGACCAGGTAAAAGGTAACCATTGTCACATTTCCCCATAAAAATACCCAAAAGAAATGAGTTTTGTTAAAAAGGTGTTTTATTACCAAAATACAGAAAAGCCTCTCTTCCAATGGGGCTGGCTTGAATAATATAATGTTAAATATATTACTATTTAGTACTGAAGTCTTAATGTCTGTTGAAAAGAATCTTACAAGCATGTGTAATGTCATTGGCTCACAGACATTAAGTGTGTAAATATATGGAGAATTGTACATTATACCCTTCGTATTCGTGAAATATAATGTTTCTAGTAAACAAACCAAGGTTGCTATTGGAAAATACTTT